TTAGTCCAGTTGGTTTATTTTTATAAACAATAAATAGCCCTACATTCCTGCAGTGTTTCCCTTCCCTTGGACAATCTCATGGAGTCATTTGCCATGAAGACGGTGGCTGAGATTAGTGGCGTTTGTACAGATGGCGGCCATCATTTTGGAAATCTCATAAACAGTGGAGCACATGGACTTTTCTCCACCCTGCCCCCCAATATGATCACAATAGATTATCAGGGTCTACAAATCACTACCAGATGATATTAAGTTGCTTTGATAACACTCTGGGTCCCTTCCGGTGTGATATTTTTCTTCATTAGAAAGGATGGCTCAAGCACACCAAATCCTCTTACTCTTTCCTCAAAATTTATAGATCTCAGTCTCTAAACTAATTGTTAGTTGCACAGCATGCCTAAAGCTGTGCCCAGACAGAGCAATTACATCCCCCGGCCCTGATTAAAGGCACAGAGGAAACAGAAGTGCAAAGAAAATGAAACACTCTTGGCTGTTTGGGCAGGATGTCATTGCTGTTGTTTGCCTTTTTTGACATTTGTTGATAAAAGTGAGAGAGGAGGTTAGTTATCCATCACTGACCCTTGTTCAAAGCCAAAGATGTGACAGGCTTGTCTCAGGCTACTGACTTCGTTTATGAAATTATAAACAAAAAGGGTTTCTAGGCCAGCATGCTCCTTTTCCAACAGCAGCATGAGGATTTCCTCATTTTTCCCTCTAAATTACATTACATTCTATGGCTTATAAACTCATTTACCTCTTAGTGTACATCTAAAAACACAGAACTGCTTTGTTCCTGAAGGGCCAGAGCTGTAAAATCCTACTAACTCTATGAATTCCCCAGGTGATGGAAATCCTGGCATATAGGTGTGCCTAAATATGCAGGCATTTCTTGTAGAATTTTTGTCAGTGGTAAAGTGATGCTTTGTACGAGATGTATTTTCTTTTGAGATTCATTGTAACTCTGTGACTGACTCTTCCTGCCACTTTCTATTCTTTGCCAGTCATACTCAAGTTTTTCAAAGAAAAAAGAATTACTTGTCTACAAATGTAATATATTTGTAGAATCAGTGCCTGCAATTTTGTGATCTTGTGATTTGAAAATAAGCACCTTTGCTATTGATTTACTATTTCAAGGGGGTTTTTTTCTTTTTAAAGTCAGACTGTGATCTTGAAAATAAATAAATAGATAATTGGGAGCACCAGATTCCCTATATTAAGATCCAAATGTTATGGCTTCAATTACATCTCCATCAATGTTTTTAGTGTGTTTTTAGAGTTATTTAAATTGTATAGTCCTATTGTGTGCTATGTAGCATCTTAAATAATATCAAGGTATATGATATTTCTGAGCAAAGACTAGTAAGACTAAATAGAATGGTGAGGGTTGTTTAAAAAAATCAATAATTGATTTATTTATGTTAATAGATGTATAAATTTTTCATTTTTTAACCCAGAAGGATGTTTTGTTAAGTGACAAGTTAACAAAATTCACCACTGCAGAAAGTCTGACAAAAGGGTAGGCACACACTGCATCTTGGAAGTAGCACTGCTAATGGTTGCACTCATCTGCATTCACATACACTGAAAGTAAATGGAAAAGGAGTTTTCTGTAATCTTCTCTTGGGGTGTACAAACTTCAAAGTTCAGTGAACTTGAAATTTGGTCAGGAAGCGCAGCAGACAAAGCCTTCCATGGGTGCATCTATTTTTTCCTCAGTGCTGTGATTTTGGGTGGATTCAGTTTCAAATATTCCATCTTTAGAAACTGTAAACTTCCAAAATTAGATCCCCCTCCCACAAGAAGACATCAAGCTTAGTCTCTTGGACAGCTTTATTATATTGCAGCTAAAGGCTGACTGATATGCTACTGCTAGACTGCTATACCATACCTCTATATATGCTATAAATCAGGACCTCAGACTTTGAAGTCCTTGCTTAACCAGTTCCTTTAATTACTTTGCATTATATGTTAGGATGGACTGTGATATGGTAGGAAGACAAGTTGCACAGTGGATAGCCATGGATGAATTTGATAATCACATGGTGCCTGTAAAGAAACACATTCTTGGACAAATTAGTCATCATGACCGCAGGGTCTAGGAGGACAGTGGCAATTAATGGTGCAGGAGAAGGTATGAGAACTTACTGGGCAAAACTTTAAAAGAGAAGCCCTGTGGTTAGAAGAAGGAATCCAAGTTTGGATCCCTTGAGCAATGAGAAGACATTCTGTCTGCCATACTCCCATGGCCATGAAAGTATTGAGCAAAGTCCCATTTTCAAGCACTTGTGACCACCCTTTAATATTACATAAGATACAAATTCCTATTTGTTGTAAAAATTACAGTTTAAAGAAACAGTCTCTGCCATGGTTTGCACAGATTCCAGTAAAAAATAACTGGTAGACTTTGGACATCTGTACTTTTATAAACTTACTCTATATGAGAATCTTTGGATTTGAACCTTAAAAAACAAATACGTTGGGCTCTTTGTTTACAACACTGCCAATGGTATTTTTTGTAGGTACCCTGTGAAGAAAATACCTACTTTTCAGCAAGACTTTTCAAGCTATTATTACTGCCCAGGGCAGCATGATGAGTTTGTACATGGAATATTGAGCAAGATTGCTAAGGTGGCAGGAAGGTTTCACTTGGCCTAAGCCTGTATTAGATTAACTCTGCATTTTCTTTCATAGTATTTATATTTTAGGAGGTCATTTTCTCAGTTCAGAGTCAAAGGTCAAATCTATTTTTATGCTGTACTTTCTTGGTTCCTTCATTTGCCAGCTTGTTATAAATCTTGTGAGTAAAATGCTATCCCCAGTGACTACCTATCTTCATACTACCTATAAATCAGTGTCTGGAAAACTCTGTAGAGAATTCAGGAAAGATCAGTCTTGAAGAAAATTAGGTGGGTAATGTCTTCAGGACCTCCCTGGGTCCTTTTGATACAATGTAAAAATATAACTCCTGTCCCCATAGGACAATGCAAAAGTGAGACCTTACAGGCCATGTGGGGCAGGTTGTTAACAAATTGGTGGAAATGGGTAAGGTTTTCAACTTGTCAAGCACCATTTTCATAGCTTGATGACACCTTGTAAGACCAATAAGTAATTTATGGGGTATCTAAATGTTTCAAATAGGAATTTAAGAACTGGAGAAAAGAGATCTGGGGTCTCATAGTTAATCCTATTGGAGCAGCTTCTTATTAAAACAGCACTCTACAAATTGATTACAGCTGCAATCCCTTTTAAGAAGAATTATTTTAAAATCCCAATTATAATGACTATTTGTAAAGAGTAAAAATACTTAGTGTCAGTTTTGCATGAAGACTATGCCTTGGCTCACTTGGAAGAAGTGGGTTATCCTTTTCCTGCCTTTCTGGAGATAATCTATTAGTGCTTGAACTAGTAACATTAAAGGCACAGCTCCATTCAAAAAGAGATTTGTTTCTTTTCTCTAGACCCGGTTTTCATTTGTACTCTTCTTTCACTATTCCCAGATCCCTTTCTTAGATTGATGCCTTTACCTATTTATAGCCTGTCCCCCCAACTTTGTCTAGGAAAAAAAGAACAGGCATTCAAAGTCAGCCCTGATTTAGGGTCTGGTCCCAAGATCAAATAATATCCCCAAAAGTCAATCTTAGTTGCTCTTAAAATCTCTGGTCATCAGATGTGCAACTTATAGTGCACCCAAAGTAACAACACTGAGAAAAAGGAGGTATTTCTGCAACATCCCTATTTTTAGATGCTTCAGGGTAAATTCACAGGTACACACTCTGGCTGCTTTGGACTGTTCTGGTGACAGAAAGCAGCCAGAAATCTGGTTTAACTGGCTGGTTGAGATGGTTTAACAGATGTTTTGCATCACTAGAGCCAGGCAAAGGAGCCAGAGCCTACTGGCAAACCTGGTTCTTTGTCTTCATATGGAAATAATTTGTAACAGTCTCTGTATGCAACTGTCTTTGGGTCAGTCATTCAAAATATGCTGATGAGGCCAATGGGATTAAAACAGATAGCCTTAGCAGTAGCAAATATGAAAAAATATATATATTCTGTAAAATCCTGTTGAATCTTTAATTGCATCCACCCCAGCTTTGTTTGTTTTGCCTAAATAAACAAGTAACACACCTTCCTCTGAAACTTCAGGTGTTCAGGAGATACTGGATATAGTAAAATTCAATAATAAAATTCAGTGGGAACAAATGTAAGGCCTCCCTTCCCCTGCCATGCTCCTCCCTCCCCTGCTGCCCAGGGAGGAGACTGTCTTCTCTCTATGACAGTCCTGGGGGTTGGGCTGGGCTAGTGCTGCTCATCCACATGAGCACCCATCCTGCCCTGCCCCACCCCACCCCACACCCCACAAAGTTGCAAGGGATGCAGATGCAATCACTTGAAATTAACCCTTGCAAGGAATCAGTACACAGGTTCCCTAAGGTACTCTGTCTTAGAGCTTCCCTGTCTGATACTTCAGCAGACAAGAGTTAAATTGTTGCACTATCAGCCATTTCAAAAGTGCTCTGCAGCCATGAATGTTTGTTACATTATGACTGTAGAGCACTTTCAGGGAACTCATTGTGCAAAAAATGTAACTTCTGTAAGTGCCCATAGATGATAAAGGGGTTAGAGTGCAGCCTGGGTGAGGAAAGGTTGAAAGAACTAGGTATGTTTAGTTTTGGGGAAAGGATGTTCCCCCTTAATAGGGGGACATATAGCAATTTTCAAATATTTAAAAGGCTGCTGTTAAGGAGAGGCAGAACTGATGTTCTTTTCTCTGCACACATGTGGATGCGCGTGTGCACACACAGATTTCCTAGAAATATTTAGTCATCATCCCTTTACAGTAGTTTTAACTTTCTGCTACAAGTTGCCAAGCTGCAAAGTATTAAGCCTTATAATCCTTCATCCTTTTAGATGTGGTTTGCTGGGGGGAAGGGTTGTAAATCCACGGTGGCAAACAAGAAAACCCTGAAGCTGTGAGCAAACAGGAAACAAATTATCTCAATCCCAGAATGTAAACTGCCATTGACAGAGATGCATGAAAGAATCATAACAGGGAAACCTGCTGCAATTTTTCATCCAGTTACCAGCTGAATCATTGCTGTTAAACTAAAGGAGCAAGCTACCAGCCCAGCACTGACATGGAAGAGTTCTTCAGATGTCGTTGTGTGCACAAAGCAACCTTATAGTCTGACTGGCATTTGCTCCTTTTCATGCTTGCAGACTGATAATTATTGTGCACTGCCTCAAGCTTGCAATTAGAGGCCACCAAGAAACAAAAAAAGTTGAATTTCAAGATTGAACCTTTTCTATGGATAGTTGCATTTTCCCAGCACGATGACTATTGTTAGGAGTGGATGCAGAGAAGGCACCTGTGCCAAGCTGTTAACAGGTAAAAGGAGGTGTGGGCATCAGTAACAAATGGAGAATTCTCCTGTGCTAGACAGCAGTAGCAATTGTAATACTTGCTGGGTGATTCAATTAATACTATTTCATTTGAGTCCTTACTGAACCAGCGCCCCTGATTTCTAGGACATGGTGCTGGCTTTACATGCTGCTTTTTTAAAATGAAAACTGAGCTCCTGCCTATTTGTCACAAGTACATATCCTTCTACAATTTTGCAACAGTAGGGGAGTTTATCTTTGAATCCTAGGTAAATTCTGATTCTATTCTATCTACAGACATGCACCCCCTGTAATTTCAAGGACAGGTTATCCTTCTGTTCCTATTATAATCTACTGCATCATGATGATGTATGCTGTTAAACAACTGCTATTATTCCACCCCAATTTGGTAGGTAAAAAAATTGTTCCTCTTTTAGACAGTATAGAAAGTTAGTAAAGCACTAGATAAAGTTAAGAGACTGTTATGTGGAATTTTTAAGAAGTGTTTTCTTTTTCTCCTTCAGGTTTTCTCTGTCTCTATCTGTCTCTCTCTCTCTCATCATCATTTTTCATTTTATTTTGTCTTTGTTGTAATATTTTTTGTGTAAGTCAGGGAAGCTGCTGTGGCAGATCTAGAGGAGCTCTGTGACAATGAATGAATACTGAATGTCATTTTGGTTATTGGGATGTTTATTGTATGAACATATTGGGTTACTTTAATAAGATGTGTTGGAGGAGGAAAGCATTGTTTAATGTAAGGAGCACTTCAGCAAACACTTAAGAGTTATTAAGGGACAATGCCAGGAATATTGATTTTGAAGATTTTGCTTCCTTCTCAGCTAACCTACAAAAGTGACTTTAACCAGGACATAAAGATGTCCAAGAATATATGAATTCAAAAGAAATGTGACAGAATTAAAAATGAATGATCTCTCAAGAAAACCCTAGTAGTTACTCAAGGAAACCAAACTGAGACAGAGGCACCACCCTGAATGCTTAAAGAATTAAGCTGTCTACGTTGCCATCAGGGGATGGTAAGCCTTTCAAAAAGGGGACAGAAATGCAGGTAGCCTGTAACTGTGACAGTTGTCTTCTGTCTTGCTCTCCTCAGTTGAAGATGTTTAATTACAGTGGCTCCATATAAGTTGGCAAAATTCATGGTCAAATGGTGATTTCCTCAGTAAGTAAGGGAAGCAGAGCTCAACCCTCTGCAGTAGCCCTAAAGCCATTCCTTCGCCAAATTCAGATAAGGCCTTGTTTACACTTGACATTATATTTTTGAGTTTAACCAAGTTAAATGGACTTTTTGGACAAATCATGTGGCACTTTAATGTGTATTACTAAATCAATTTTGGAAGCAGATCTGCTGAGATTTGGAAGAGTTTACCTGCAACAAAGCATATGTGAAAGCAGTCCCATCACAAACCAGGTGTTGTGTATCTGCCAAGTCCTCCCTGCTGCTATCCTATGCAAGTTTGTTTGTTAACTCAGCATGTCTGTTTACCAGTGTGTTACCTCTTGCTTCAGGGTCTTTTATCCAGGGGCCACTTTCCCTTTTAAATACAGGTGTGCAGCCAAGGGCAAGTGTTGAGAGTCCACCTTGCTGTCAGAACCATGATTATCGTGTAATTGTGCCTCATACCGCTGCTTCCTGAGGTCCTGGACTTCCTTTTTCTGAGTAGAAGCTCATCTGAATGGTACAGGCCTGCAAATGGATATCGCAATGAGCACAGTATAAGACACATAACCGGGACTTTAGCCAGACCCGTAGTAATGCAAACGAGCTCTGGCTGGGCTACAAGAATGTTAAGCACAATAAAAGGGCCTCAGGGAGAGCTCACACTGTCTGCAACTGCTATAAGCAGCTGGAGAGCTCACAGCTCAATCACTGTGTTTTGTGTGTTCCCTGGTAGATTCTGAAATCTAAGATCTCCTCAACTGAGAGGCAGTGCTGGAACGTGAAGACCCACTCAAATCACTGCCATTGATCAAGTGACCTAAACTGGTAGAAACTGTTTCCCAAGTAAGTATTGTATGAAATGTTACCACGCAGTGACTGTGTCTACATGTGCTTTTACACACACCTAAGCTTAATATACATTAGCCTAATGTGAATTAAGGTGATTTAGGCACATGTCTACATGTTAGTCCCAAGTCAGTGGGCCAAGGCCTAGAGTGAGTCCCAAGTCAATGGACACACATTGCATTAATGCGCATTAGCACATCTACACATTTGCTAATGCGACTTAGCTATTTGTGCATAAATTTGATACCTATTTTAGGCTTGAATGTCCTAAAAATAGCCAATTTAAGATGCATTAAGGGTGCACACATACCCTTAATGAGACTTATATTGAGCTAATGCACACATGTACACACGCCCAGTGTATAGGGGGATTTAAAAAATGAGAGTGCCACCATGTTGGCTTCATCCTCCTGGGCTTTTAAACCCCCCACTCCTTATTTTGATCAAAAGGGCATCCTGCCAGGAAGTGAACGAAGTCTGTCTTTTTTCCCCCCTCAAAATAAGTCAACTACTGCTTAAGCTTGCACCTTCTGTTGTACCCATCCAACACTGTTCTCTCTCCCACCCTGTCAAACCCACCATGTATACATCCACAATGCAGCAGCACATGGGTTAACAGAAAGATGGCTTGAAGTAAAGGAACTTTTATTGTAAATGCAGGTACTGGAGAGGAAAGGAACTCATAATACTGTTTCTTTCTGGACCATAGTTCATTAATGTCCTCAGCTTCGAGCCAATATGAGGTATTATAAGTTATATTTCCAACTCATGCTACTGAGACATTTCCAAAATCAATTTAAATACCTTTAAAACTATTCCCCCTTCCTTCACTGCAGAATTTTATTGATTTTGCAGTGCATTTTTAGCTTATTCTCAGGGTTTTAATAAAGAGAACTGAAGCCAAACCTAGTGCTTTATTTTGGCAAGGAGATTTCATAACACTGCAGCTCTCTTCCACTGCCCTTATTACTTGTGGTTCCCTTTTGCATTGTGCCAGGCACTGCCCTGACAAAAAGCAGTGTAGCATATAGTCCAAATTTGCTAATCGTCTCTTTTACCCTTCTATGCCTTTTGGGTACGTACCTCAAGGTAACATCCTCTAAAGGACTATATCTGCAGAAACACACAGACAATTAATTACTAATATAGTCTGCAGCTTATTAGCCCTTTCTATAAGTTGTCACAAGTCTCAGCCCCCCAGCCCCAGTGTCCTGTCACATGTCTACTAGGGTAGTGTGGAGCTTCAGATGCTGATTCAATCTGGAGGAGATTCGGCCTAATTCAGTGGAGACCCATGAATGACATATATCTCCGGCGGCTGGGGGCTCCCACAGACGCCGCCAGCACTGTCAGTGGCAGAGGTGCGGGGTGGCAAGCAGCTACCACTCACTGGCACTGGCATTGACCAGGGACAGTCATGGACTGCTCACAAATGCCTTTTTGCAGGAGTGCGCTGCCATGCAGAGGGGTGCACATGCATCCACATACACCCCCTATGTGTCGCCCCTGGGGAGACCAATAATAAGGTCCAAATCAATTTGAAGCTCCCCGAATCAATTCAAAAAAAGATTTGGAGAGCTTAAGAGAGATTTGGAGATTCAGGCAGTCCCCCCCTGCTCACCACTGCAGGGAGCTAGACCTGGACTCCGTGACAGTAAGTAGGGGCTGGGGGGGACCATGGGGAACCCCCGCCAGGCCCCATCCCCTGCCTGCTCCCCCAGCCGCACTGAGTGCCCCCTCACTGCTGACATAGAGGCAACATCTTGGACAATAAGCTGTTCTTTTTTCTCTTTATTTCCCATAGCATCAGTAGGAGAAAGAGGAAGAGAGAGAGACAACCCAATGTGTTTGTGCAGATTTGCCTGTTTGCATTCTTTAATAGCATTTAACTTTGTGCAGCATTCTGTACATTCAATCATTTTATTTCTTTTCTTCATATTCAGTAGTTATTCACTGTTATTTATTAAAAAAAATCATTGAAGAAGTCTTTACCTTCATAGTTTGAGTTGTGCACAAGCCTTTGAAATGACCAGAATCTCCCAGAGTAAAATCCCACACATGGGGAGATCATGCTCAGGCGCAATCAGCATGGGTTCATCAAAGGCAGGTCCTGCCTGACCAACCTGGTTGCCTTTTATGACCAAGTACCTAAATCCTTGGACGATGGTGTTGCCATGGACGTAGTCTTTCTGGACTTTAAGAAGGCCTTTGACACTGTCTCTCACCCCATCCTCATCAAAAAATTAAGCTGCCGTGGCATTGATGCCTGCACAGTTGGATAGGTAAAAAACTGGCTGATGGGGCGCACCCAGAGAGTGGTGGTGGATGGGTTGTACTCAACCCGGTAAGATGTGAGCAGTGAGGTCCCCCAGGGCTCAGTCCGAGGTCTGCACTGTTTAACATCTTCATCAGTGACTTGGACAAGGGGGTGGAAAGCAGCTGTCCAAGTTTGCTGATGACACTAAGATGTGGGGCAAGGTGGACACACTTAAAGGGGGAGAGAGAGGCTGCAACTAGATTTAGACAGACTAGAAAAGTGGGCAGACAAGACTAGGATGGGGTTGAACGTAAATAAATACAGGGTGCTGCACCTTGGGAGAAGGAATCCACAGCACACAGACAGGCTGGGGGGCTCCCCTCTTGAAAGCCCAGAGATGGAAAGGGATCTTGGAGTCATTATTGACTCCAAGATGAACATGAGCTGCCAGCGCCAGACCGCAGCCAGCAAGGCAGCCATACCTTGTCATGCATCCAAAGATGCATCTCAAGCCGGTCCAGAGAAGTGATACTCCCCCTCTATGTGACTTTGGTCAGGCCGCAGCTGGAGTACTGCATCCAGTACTGGGCACCGCACTTCAAAAGGGATGTGGCCAGCCTGGAGAGGGGTCAGAGGAGGCCACCCGCTTGGTGAGAGGGCAGCAGGACAGGCCCTACGAGGAGAGACTGAGGGACCTGAACCTGTTCAGCCTCAGCAAGAGGAGGCTGAGGGGGAACCTGGTGGCTGCCTACAAACTCATCAGGAGAGATCATCAGCAAATAGGAAGAGCCCTTTTCTCCCCAGCACCACCTGGGGTGACGAGGAGCAATGGTAATAAGCTGATGGAGAATAGGTTTAGGTTAGAGATCAGAAGGCAATATTTTACAGTCAGGGCGTCCAAAATATGGAACCAACTTCCCAGGGAAGCGGTCCTCGCCCCTACCTTGGGCAAATTCAAGAGGAGGTTGGATGATCACCTGTCTGGGGTCTTGCAAACCCAGCATTCATTCCTGCCTGTGGCAGGGGGTCAGGCTAGATGATCTCATCAGGTCCCTCCTGACCCTAGCTACTATGAAACTATGAAACTATGAAACTATGAAACTATGAAACATGCACTCTAATTAAATCTAAAAATGTGCCATAGTAAAAACCCTGCTGAAAGGGATACATGAAGCAGGGTAAATTCCTTACAGAACTACATATACATATGAAGAAGGCATACAAGAATGGTTCGCACAAACATGCTTTACAAATGGCTCCTACATGCAAAGTAGATGCACAATGCATCTCTTGCTCTTCATAGAATCATAGAAAATTAGGGTTGGAAGGGACCTCAGGAGATCACTAGTCCAACCCCCTGCTCAAAGCAGAATCATCCCCAACCTGTTCCAACATTTTACTACCCTCCTAGTGAGAGAAGTCTTCCTAATATTCTAAATGGGAGAGGAGTCTAATGCCTAATTCCTAATACCTAAACGTCTCTTGCTGCAACTTGAGACCATTGCTCCTTGTTCTGTCATCTGCCACCACTGAAAACAGTTTAGCTCCATCCTCTTTCAAACCCCACTTCAGGCAGTTGAAGGCTGCCATTAAGTCACCCCTCAGTCTTCTCTAGACTAAATAAGCCCAGTTCCCTCAGTTTTTCCTCATAAGTCATATTCCCCAGGCCCCTCACCATTTTTGTTGCCCTCCTCTGAACACCTTCCAATTTGTCCACATCCTTTCTGTAGTGGGGGCCCCAAAACCAAACACAGTACTCCAGATGTAGCCTTACCAGCGCTGAATAGAGAGGAATAATCAGTTCTGTTGACCTGCTGGCAACATACCTACCAATGCAGCCCAGTATGCCATTAGCCTTCTTTGCAACAAAGACATGCTGTTGGCTTATATTCAGTTTATTGTCCACTGTAACTCCCAGGTCCTTTTCTGCAGAGCTGCTGCCCAGCCAGTCAGCCCCCAAAATGTACTGGTGCATGGGATTTTTCCATCCTAAGTGCAGGGCTTTGCTCTTGTCCTTGTTGAACCTCATGAGATTTCTTTTGGCCCAGTCTTCCAATTTGCCTAAGACACTCTGAATCCTAGCCCTACCCTCCAGCATATCTGCTACTTCCCCTAGCTTGGCATCATCTGCAAACTTGCTGAGGGTGCACTCTGTGCCATCTTCCAAGTCATTAATGAAGACATTGAAAAAAACTGGCCCCAGGACTTACCCCTGGGGCACTCCACTTGATACCAGCTGCCAACTGGACATCGAGCCATTGATTTCAACCCTCTGAGCCCAATACTTCAGCCAGTTTCTAACCACCTTACAGTCCATTCATCCAGCCCATACTTCCTTAGGTTGCCTGCAAGAATGCTGTGGGAGACTGTATCAAAAGCCTTGCTCCAAATCAAGGTATACCATATCCGCTGGTCTCCCTGCATCCACAGAGCCAGTCACCTTGTCATAGAAGGCAATCAGGTTGACTTACCCTTGGGAAACCCATGCTGAATGTAACCAACCACCTTCTGCTCCTCCAAGGGACTGAGATGAGATTGACTAGTCTGTTGTTCTCTGGATCCTCCTTTTTTCCCTTTATAAAATATAGGCACTATGTTTGCAATTCTCCAATCATCCAGGACCTCTCCTGATCACCATGAGTTTTCAAAGATGATGGCCAATGGATCTGCAATCACATCAGCCAACTACCTCAGCATCCCATCCAGCCCCATGGACTTGTACACATCCAGCTTTC